GTTGGGAGGCGGGCAGATGGGGGGAGACTGAAGGGGCTCATGCGTTAGGACGAAGGCGTAAAGGTGAAGGTCAGCTAAGATGGCGCAGAATTTGACCACTTCGCGGAGCGGTCAGGAGTACCACAGTGCTGCAATCCTGCAATGCTGTCTGTCCTGTACTGTACGCATCTCGCAGCTGTTTGGCGATGCGTCAACTTTCTGGATTTGCCAGCACTGCAGCTGAATCATTATTGGAAGCAATGGTGGTGGTGGTGGTGTGCATTCGTCATTCCTCTTCCGCATGTTTTCGTTCTTCGCCATCGTATTGCGTCATCCGCCGTATATTTTTCCTCTCGTTCGACGTGGATTTTCTGTGACTCGGCGGAGGCCCGATGTGGCGGTGCTTCCCTGCCAAGACGGGTGCAGGGTGCGCTAGTGCTGTATTTCTGAATCACAAAGGTTTCGCTGGTTGGCTGTGTTTCCCGATTTTCTTGGGGCTTTTTTTTTTTGTGTGTGTGTTAGATTACCTCTTCTTTCCGCAGTAATTTTCTTTTCGCGATTCCTACGGACACCGGCCATCATGCGGGAAAGGGAGTTGCTGCCTGTGCCTTTTCCCATTGTTCCAATGTCTGCAAGAAGTTACGGCCATGTACACCTTTCATTTGTGAGACCTTCTTCTGGCCATTACAGATGTTTTTGGCGGGTGGCATGGTGGAACTTCTGAGCTATACTGCACACACCACGGTTGGTGCTCCTTTAGACGCCGAATGACAGGAAGAGTAGATTTTGTTCGGTGTGTTCCCAGCATAGCCTGTTGCTTTTGCACATCTGTTCTCTGAATTTTTCAGGCACAAATGGATGTCGAGCTTAACGAGGTTGAGATAGTGTTTGCTCAGAAGTTGGCTTCTGGTGAGCCGATCACACGCCGACGAGCCTTCCGCACTCTCTGTGACTGGATTGCAGCCGAATCCGCAAAGCGAGGCACGTCGGTTTTGTATTAATTTAATATTCGACGGGACGTTGGAGTTGTCTCGCAGAAAACCCATGAAAAGCCGGCAAAGAAACCTCCACAACAAGAAAGGTATTGCCTTTGGAAGGCAACAAAGGAAAAAGAAAGTGGTTTCTGTTTTGAAAGACAGATACACAGTAGATGTGCTGTCGTGCTTACATGCAAATGCAAAAACGCATATTGTGACGACCCCAGTGTATGTGTGTGTATGTGTATGTGTGTGTGTGTGCATCTGTCCGGATACTTCAACTCGGCACCCAAGCAAGCTCCGGCGCCAAAATTTTGCTGGTGGCTTCCCCGGCCAAGTGCCACCCCAGAACCTCGGTATCAGCTCTCACGCAAGTCTGGGCTCCGCGTACGAGGGGATGAAAGTTTTGGCGGAAAAATCGCGGACTCGGGAACCAGAAAAGCTAGAAAGCTGAAATTTTGAGGTTTTGTCTCCCGTCTCCATGGAACTCAAAGATTTCAAATCCAGCCCCCAGGCATGCGTAGTTCCCGTGTATGGCTCCGTAAGGGTTCCTGGCGCGAAAATCGCTAACTTGAGAATCAGGAAAGCTGGGGAGTTGAAATTTTCAGGGAATGTTCCCGGTACATGTGCAACTTAAATTTAACAAAATCAGCTCCCGGGCAACCGTGGTTATCACGTATGGCCTCGTGTATTTTTTTGCCGTGAAAATTACTAACTCAGGAACCAAGAAAGCTGGAAGGTTGAAATTTTCAGGAAATGTTCCCAGCTAAAGTTCAATTTAAATTTATCAGACTCAGCCCGCTGGGCATGCGTGATTGTCACGTACGGCTTTGTGAAAGTTTTTGGCGCGAAAATGGATAACTCGGGAACCAGAAAAGCCCGGAGGCTGAAATTTTCAGGAAATGTTCCCAACCCATGTACGGCTTAAATTTATCAAACTCAGCCCCTCGGGCATGCGTGGTTGTCACGTACGGCCTCGTGAATATTCTTGGCAGGAAAATTGCTATCTCAAGAGGAAAATTTGGAAAGCTGAAATTTCAACGAAATGTTCCCTGTCCAGCTATCGCATAGACAATTCCAAGGCTTCGAGGACCAGTATATCACACATTTCTAGCTACAGAGTTTCCGAGCGATCTCATTGCAGTGCGAAATATTGCAAAAACGCATGATCGCACGCGCCAGCCCGGTGCGCACGCGCCAGCCCGGTGCGCGTCGCCAGTGATTCTGGAGTGCAATGGCCGGTAGTGTATTGAGTAGCACGTCACATCCGTATGTGAAAAGGACTGGTTCGATTCCCTCCCGGTTCACAACTGTTTTTGAAAAGAACCTCCACTCACGGTAGTAGTTGACTGGGGTAAGGTACCAATGTCTAGGATTGATGGGGATTTGGATTTTTTTGCGTACCACCAATCCCAGTAATGCAAGTAGCTGGTTTAGAGTTCGAGAGTGGTGCCATGCTTCACCTCAGCAAAGGATTGCATTACGCAATGTGGATGCAGGATAAGATGCTATGGCAGGAGCAGCTCGCTGATAATATCGCCTCGTTGCTCACCCGATTTGTTCGGGAAAGCGAGTCAGCACTGTTCGTCAAGTGTATGCTAATTTGCTTATCGCATGAATGGCCTCGGATTGATCGCTGGAGAATGGACAAATTTTTGATGGTAAGTAGTTGCATCGTTTCCTTCTCGCTGATCAAATGCCCATGAAGATATCTTTAAATTAAAAATGCATTATTTCGCAAACTGCACTGTGCAATCTCATCCAAGACGAAGGAAGAGGCGATGCTGGCCTGTCGCAGTAATAAAGACATTATGGTATATATATATAAAAAAAAAAAAAAAGAAACGTGTCCAGAAACCTGTTCAGTCACTGTCGAAATCGAAGAGCGTCCCCTCAGTGTGACGGAAAAGTGATAGGACAGAGGCTGTTTTCTGGACAGCGGAAGTAGTAAGATTGTCCAGTACGGTACTCCACTTAAATTACGGGCAATTTGCAAACGTTGTGTACTGTTGGATAGCGTATGTGCAGAGAATCTGGCATTTGTTGGATATCTTTCCCAAGTTGCAGTTTTCGTATTATGATTCATCATTGTACATGAGTTTACATATTCTTGAAGAATTGTTGTGAATTTTAATTCGTCCCAAAGATTACTTTCTTTTCACGAATTTTTAACATTTTTTTTTTTCGAAAATTACTTGGGGTTTGAGATAGCACATGTGACTTGCTATCCAGATGTCTTGGGATGAAGTTGCTAAGGAGGTGAGACGTCGCGATTGCGAAGGCTTCTTTGTACACATTCTTTGTACTGTGATTTTAGCTAATGCGCCGACTTGTACGTACACTTTTTTCGTATCTTCGATCAAAGGACTGGGAACCGTCACTTACCAATATGTATATCACCGCTCTCAAGGGATGTGTAATTTCAAGTGGTTTGGTTTTTTTTTTTTTTTTTTCATTTAATCATGCAGTTAAAAAATATCCTGTAAAGATGGATGGGATTGCCTACTAATGCATTATGGGAGTTTTTTTTTTCCCGGTTTTATAAAATTCTGTCTCTTAATATTCCTGTCCCAGTGCAGAATTTGAACTTTTTGGAGTATTTTGCTTCCGATTGTTTGTAATTTTTTTTTTTCGCTGGGAAAAGAATCACTGCATATAAGAGTAGTGTTAACTCAGTCATCATGTTCGTTTCTTTATCCTAATGGCGTATGCCTTAGTATCTATCAAGTTTGGCGTTTTTATTCTCAAAAAAGTAATGCATCGAAGTAAGTTTGACCATTGATTGGGCTTCGTAAGGCCTCACACTTATAGTAATCACTTGTCCGATGTTGTTGCTGTTGAGTCAGTTTGGCTGAGACCTTCTAAGTTTGCCTTTGCATACACACGATGCCGCTTTCCGGGGAAAACTGTCCTAGGGAAAATTTCGAG